CTCTCTCTCTCTCTCTCTCTCTCTCTCTCTCTCTCTCTCTCTCTCTCTCTCTCTCTCTCTCTCTCTCAAACACACACTGTGCAGTTTTGTGTCCTCGTGTTGTGGTGCAGTGTGACTGCATAATAACATGAGTAGTGTAATGTTTAAGGGGCCTTGTCAAACATCTGGAGTTTAACAGCTCTGTCGCAGGCAATTAAAGAACATCATGTCACGTCTTTGATTTGTATGCAGCCAGTACCACACATCTGCTGTCAAAGAGCCTTCACCGAGGCTGAAACCTGACTCTAGACTCACACACCTTAATGTGAACTACCTTTCAGGTTCACAGACCTCTTAGACTCGTGTGGAAAGCTGGATTTGGCCCTGTTGTCCCCGCCAAAGAAGGAGTACTGGTCCATGCTGGCTTACAACCGGGCTAAACTCTGCAACATCCTCTTCAGCAACGAGCTCCACCGGCGACTTTCACCCCATGGCGTGACCTCCAACGCAGTGCATCCTGGGAACATGATCTACACTTCCATTCACAGAAGCTGGTGGCTGATGACCTTTCTCTTCATGCTGGCCAGACCTTTCACCAAGTCTCTGGTAGGAAATCACGCTAGAATAAAAAAGTGTTTAGTCACTGTGTGTCTGCACAAACTGTAGAACAGCTTGACTGAAGGCCTGCCGAATCCACGGCACCGTCTTTTGTTGACTCTGGTACAAGTCTTACTGAGCTTGTATTTGTTTTGGCACATTCCTGGTAGCCAGAACAGGAACAGGATGGAGAGGAGCGAGGTTGATCTACAGTGTCCTCAGGGTGATACTCTGCTTTCATAGATAGAGCTATTCTGTGGTTTGTTTCCCTCTTCCTCTTGTGACTGTTTATTTAACTCAGGGAGACAGTTCTTTTCTCAGATGATGTAACAGATTCAGTGGATCTTGGCTGCTCTTTGCAGTCAATGCACAGCAATTTTATGCTCTCATCTTACAAAGACTTTAAAAAAAAAAATCAGATATGTTTTAAAGCCATGTAACATACCAACCTGGTAAACTCAAATGTTTTCAGTCAAGCTTGTTTTACAAAGACTTGTCTGAAAGCATAGATACATCAAACGCAGAATGTCCTAAGATGCTGTTTTTGAGACACTAAAAGAAAAGACTGTAGTTGCTATACCAAGGGGAACCTGCTTTTACCCCCTCCTTTTTTATGACATTACAACTTTAATTTAGAAGCAGCTGTAAAACTAGATCCCCTCAGAAAATTGACACTTCACCGGGATGGTTGTTGGAGTAACTGGACCTCTGCGCTTCTGGGAGTTTTGTGTTTTTTGGGTCAAGAGCTCCTGGTAGGGTCATTATCTGCTGGTGGAAGGAGCTGCAACTGTTACAGGAGATACACTTACAGTATATATTGAAGCGTTGTCTCCAGAATGAAAGTATGGCACAAGGACTTTTACTTTTTTTTTTTTTTACTTTGCAGGAGTTGCCCAAAGAAATTAGAGTTTTTCAGTTTTTGTTAGGATTTTTCAAACCCTCCCACAAAGCAGCTCTGTTAGGATCAAAAAAATAATGTGACTTTTCTCAAACTATGAGAAAACTCATGGATGTGTGATGCAGTTGTGCAGTATTTTAGGGATGGTGGGATTTGCAATAAATGCAAACAATGAAGTAAGGGTATTAGCCGTTTCTTTATCTTTAACATAAACTAAAACTTGGACCACAAACAACAAACAACCCATACCTTTTAAATGATGTGAAATACCACCAGGAACAATTATTTTGAGAGTTTCTTTATTAAACAAGTTCAGTGATTGCACGCTGATTGTGAATCCATGCTGTATTGCTGAAAAAATTAACTTGAAAACAAGGACAGGATCGAACATTCAATAAAATCCCAGCGTTGGAGGGAAATTAGTGGATCTCCTTTACACTTTCAATAAAACCAACCACTGGTTTTAATGCTGGTACACAAGTTCAGCATGATTTGTGTGAATTTTTAGAGCATGCTTTCATAAATGTGGGAAACTGTCTGAACATAAAATTTGATCAAACTTTGGATGTGGAGTTGCAAAATAGAAGTTCTGTTTAGAAGCACTATAGTCCTTGGATGGTAAGCCTTTTTTTAAATTGTATTTATATATTAGCATCTATTTCTATCAACTAAACCTGTCAAAGCCAGATTCAGCACTATGATTAATCTTAGTGTGCAATGTGCTCTCTTTAAAATTTTCAGTGGCTAGCAACACTACCCTTTAAGCTTCACAGCCTTCTGAGATATTCTTTAGTTTGACAATTACATCTTTCCATTAGCTGTTCTTCATACTTTATCAGTTTGGTGTTTGCACTGAAGTGAAAATGTGATGTGTTGAAGGCAGCGCGGTGGAGTTTTAGTGAAGCATTGTTCTGATCCATCATGTTTGACAGATGCAAGGCCTCGGGCCGTCATTTGTCTTTCTGTCTTTTGACATTGAATGAGAGATGAGGGGAACCGCTCCTCAGCACAAAATGCCAAGCTGATCATTTCTTTGACTATTTTTTTTGCCACAAAATCTTTACTTTGTCCCCTTACTTCTTTAGCGTAACATTTTCCTAGCTCTCCAACTTTTGTTTCATCCTTCAAATTTGGCCTTTGTGAATTTCAAAGTCCTAACTTTGTTAAATAAATATTTAGTTGCTGTGACTTCTGTGTCCTTTGTGTAAAAAGGGAGCTAACATTTTGAAACTGTGCGCACAGATGCAATTAACAAAGCTCTTTCTCCAGAGTGTGGTAGTGGCTTTTCTACATCTTGTTAATTAAACCTAGTGTAGATGTTAGTAAATATTAAAAGACAAAAGTAGAGCTAGTAATTAAATTTTGGTGTGCTGACACAGCAATTAGCTAAAAACTCATGTCGGATAAAGGCCACACACAGATACACGGGCACACCCTTAAGCTGAACATTGGCTCTTATTTAAATCTGGGGTTGATAAGGCCCCTGAAAGTGTATCCTCTTGAAAATCCCACTCCTCGCTGCTTCTGCCTCCACATTAAGGGCTTAATAAAACAGTGATATTATTTCAGTTATTGGTTGCAGGGATATGAAGATGGTATCGCTTTAATTGCTTGCGTGCGCTTGCGGGATCCGTGGAGATTGTTCTGGGATGCAAACATAAGCAGAATGTCGACTCCAAAAAACAATCACAAAGCCCCCATGTGTGTTCTAGCGCAAATAACCAGCCCCTCATTTAAACACAAGGTTTGATTTATAGGAGCACAGGTAGAGTGATGTATATACACGGTTTCTCTGCACAGAAAGACACACATGAAGACAGAAGCCCACACATTCTTAGTGTTGAGATAAAGAAAACACCTGAAGTGGTTGTATATCTTTGATTTGATATGGCCACATGCTCCAGAGATGATTTATTTAAAGCCGATTTTATGCTATTATTTAATTATCTTTTTACCACTCGGATATCTGGACTTCTTACTTTGAACAAATACAAGCAATATTTTGACTTCTCTAAATTTTAAGTTATTTGTGTTTTCTCTAAAATGAAACTTCTTATTAGCAAGGAGCACAACCCACTCTTCTGCAGATGTAAAGAGCTGATTTCATTTTGCTGAGTTGAGAAAGACATCTATAAAGAGCCATGACATCTTTAATCAGCCAATCTCTACCATCATGTTCTCCTCCCTGTGCCTTGATCTGCTTATCACAAGCTGTGCAACCAGGCCTCTAACTCTTGATATTTATTTATTTTATTCAGTTGTTTAAAGTGGGAGTTTTCGTTTTGTCCTTTAGTGTGACTATCTGTATTCAAGGATCTCTGGCCTCCATTCATGTATAAAAATGAGAGGAAAATCTAAGAAAGGGGGAGAAAGTTAGCTTTGTGATTTTGTAGCTGTAATTTAATGCTTATGATATGTTTTGTTGCAAGATTTTGTCTGATTTATTGGATAGCAAAGTATTTTAGATCATGGATGTTGCATGCACTTTGACCCAAAAGTCTGGACAAACATTCAAACGGCACATAATAAATTTAAGTGACTGTTGCAGTTATTAGTTGGGCTATAACCTTTGTGAAGTTGTCGCCATGCTGCCGTGCTGGATCGCTGACCCTGTGACATTTTGTTGACTGACTGATTGCTCCCTCCAGATCAGTGTACCCTCAGGCTCCAAGCAGCTGGCCTCAGCCTACACTCATCAAATGTATACCTTAACTATAGGCACAGATAATGCTGAGCAGCATGAAGATATGTGTGGGCAGCGGCTTCAGTAGCTCATCATATTCTGTAATTGATAGAGAGAGGGGAGGTGTTGTAGCCACACACCTAAGAGGTCCAGTGCGACACCAAAGATCCCCCCTAGGGCCTGGTTTCATCAGCTCTCCTGCCTTATCCCTGCTTCCTAGTGTTTTAGTGTGATTATTTCACCCAGGATCCTGCCTCGGGCACCCAGCCACCTTTTTACATATGCACGGACTGAACTTTTGACCAGGCACCAGCAGACAGGGCTGCCTTGGAGAAACAGTGATTCAGGCTGGAGATGTAGGACTTCCTCCTTTGAGCATTTCCCACTGTGATCAGGAGCTCAGTCCAGCACCTCAGGGGTTAACCCAGAGACAGCTCCTGCAAGTGAGACATCAGCATTACCATACTGTATGACAGACGTACAGTGACGCGCAGCAGCCGCTCTTACTCCACTATCAGATTCTCTCCTGCAGACAAACATAAGGTCAGATGCTCCATCTTACCCACAGACTTAAACGCTCTGCCTCACACCTTTGCTGTGTGTGTGTGCACGCGTGCATGTGCTGTTCAGCCATGTGGAATCAAAAAGGAGCAGAGGTCCCAATCTTCTCACCAGCCTTTCTCTTTTCCTCTTCGGGGTTAGATGAGCTGCCAGGACATTGTAATAGAGTCCTTTAGGATGATTAGGAGCTACACAGGAGGGGGTCAACCCCAGCCTGACTGCAAACACGGTGTAGGTTTCTCCTCCGTGGTCTAGACAAATTATTACATATTATGCCGATTGAGAAAACTCACAGATTTTCTTTAGCGGCAATGTTTCAGATCACTTTTGAGGAGCCAGAAAATATTAATGAGACATTCCTGCCAGACGTTTCCTGCTGTGCCGCTCCGCAACGTACAGAGGAGACGGAGGTATAGAGGGAGAGAAACCGAGGGACATACGGAGAGAAAGCTGCGTTTGTAAGAGGACGGATAAAAGCACACAATCCTATTTGGCTGTATTGACATGTGTGTTTGTGCCCAATCCTGTTACTGGGATTATTGTCTACAGAGATACCATTTCATTAAGAAAACGCACATGCTCAAACATGCACACGCACAGAGAGCCACAAACACACACACACACTCACACAGTCGGTGTACAAAGATGGCCTGAGGCCTGGTTATACGGTCCATTGCACAGGGAAACTGTGTAAATGGTTTATTGTGGATGAGTTGATGTGATGGAAAGCGTGTCTGGATCAATAAAGAACCAATCAAATGCTGACAGTCTGATACTGTATGCAGTCAGTCATCCATCCCTTGTGCCTGCGTACAGTTATACAACATGAGTGAGAAGGAGGCTTGAACAATATCCCTGCTAAGAACT